GACAATTAGCTCCGGCGTGATGGATGGAGGGGAATTATCGGCAGGGTCAGGAATGGCTGCGGGGGGGAGATGCAAAGTCCGGGGGAGGCCGGATCCTTCCATCCCATCCTGTGCCCAGCCTGGGGCACAGCCGCGTACAGCGTGCCACGGGGTTGCCATCCCCGAGCTGTGTCAAGGGGGTGGCAGCTGGCACCTGGGTGCATCTACTGAGGGCAGCTTTGCACCCACCCCACTGACCTCAGCACCCTGGCGGGCGCTGGGTACAGGCAGGAGGCTTGCTGGGAGCCCCTGGCAGCCAAGCACCCCGTTCCGGCCTGTCACTCCTCCCTGCTCCCCTCCAGAGGCAGCTGCATCGCTGCAGATTCGGAGCCTCTCCCCGCCCCGCCAGCCATGGCACAGACCCCCCCGGCCAGCGTGTAGCCCCTCCCATGTGGCGGGGGGTGGCACAGGGGCTGTGGAGTCCAGGGGCGGCTTCGCAGGGGTTGGGGGAGGCAGCGGGTGGCTGGTGCAAGGGCCCATTTCTCAGCGTGGCTCATCTCGGCGCCCCGTTGACGGATGGAAGGGGCTTAATTGCGCCGACAAGCAGCGAGCGGGACGCGGCGGCGGGTTCATTAGGGCTGACAGCGGGCGCATCAATCCGCCATGGCCTCTGGGGGGGTCTGAAGGCCCAATCCTCTGGTGTGGGGGGGCCTGCGAGGCACGGCCTCGGTGGCTTGGCTTAGCCCCCCATGGTCCCCATCAGCACTGAGCCCCCCCCTCGTCGGCTCCCCGTCTGGCTACGCTGGGCCCCGTATGCACGTGTACGCAACCTGGGTGTGCGTGGGCCCCAGCTGTGTGTGCACCTTCTGTGTGTGTGCGTACCTACGTCCACCTGCAGGGGCACCCCATAGGAGCGTGAACCCACTGTGCTCCTGTGTGCCCACTGCATGTGCACACGTGTGCCTGTCCCGGTGTGTGTGTGCATGCTCAGGGCAGGGGAGAGCACTGTGTGTGGACATCTGTGTGTGCACTGCGCATATACATCCGTGTACGCATGTACATCCATGCGTGCATGTATATTGATGGGTGTGCACACGGGAGTCCCTTCTAGTGGGGAGCCGGAGCTGGGCGTGCAAGCCAATCCAGCCGCCCGTGTCCCTGCCTCCCTCCCCCTGTGCCAGCGCCCGGTAGCTGGTGATGGATGGCACCGGGGTCAAAGGGCACCGGAGGGGTCATGACCTGCTCAGACCTAACGAGGCAGCAGGGCTGAGCAGCCCAAGCTCACTTTCAAGCTTGCGGGTGGGGAGCTGGGGGGGCTGCCCTGTTGAGGGGGCTGCGCCTTTGAGCCAGGACCACCCCACGGTGGCTTCGGGCACATGTGTGCCTCCCCGCCAGGATGCGGGAGCAACACGCAGGCGGCTGTGGCGGGCACCTGTAGTCCATGACGAGGTGCTGGATGGAGCTGGGGTTGTACACAGATGCATACACACATGGGTGTCGTTGTTCCCCCCTGCCCCCGCACACACACACTGGTCCCCTGTACACACATACCACAAGAACACACGCACACACTCTGCTCTTCCATGCGCACACATGCACAAATGCACATGCACACACACACTGCTCCCCCATAGACACACACCACACACGTGCACACACATACATCCTCTGCTCCCCCTATACACACATACACACACATATATCCCCCACATACACACACATTCCTTTGCATGCACAACACAATTTACATGCACACATACACACCCACACCTACAACACTGAACATACACACATGCATACACTGCTCCCCCATATACATATCACAAGTGTGCACACATGCACATACATACTCTGCTCCCCCATACACATGTAGACACAAATGCACATGCACATACACACACACTGCTCCCCCAGACATACACACTGATCCCCCAAATACACACACCACACACACACATACATGCTCTGCTCCCAACACACACATGCACGCATGCACACAAACACACCCCCATATACACTCACACACATTCTTTCAGATGCACAACACAATTTACACACGCACACATAACCACACCTACAATACTGCACACACACGTGCACACACATGCTGCTTCCCCATATACACTAATATGCACAAGATAGTGGATGAAATTTAAATAACTCCTCCCCAACATGCCTGCAACACCCACCACACACACACAGACACACACACACCCTCATTTCCACAAACACACATGCACATTCCCTCACAGGCAAAGAAAGAGAGGCAAAACCCCTGACACACTCCCTTAGGCAACAGGCAGACAGTCACCCAGGCGTGGCCCACACACCAGAGCACACCTCCACATCATGCACACACACAGCCAGACACACCCCCACAAGCAGCCAGACACCGCTCATGTAACTAACTCCCAACCACACACCCATCCCCACAAACGCCCCTGCGCCCTGCCTCCCCCCGCAGCCTCTACACACCCTTCTAGAAACACATGTGACCTCTGCCCCTCCACACCCAGGTGTACAAACACACATGCACATGGGCGGGCAGAGGAACGCCCCCACCGGGTCACCCATTCAGAGTCACACGTGCACGCCACCTCGCTCGGGTAGCCCCACACCAGAAAGGCACAGCACCTCTTTCCCCTGCATGCATGTGTGCATGCACACCTATGCGTGCGCGTGCACACACACACACGAGCTGGGGAGGAGACACAAGGTCAAGCAATAAAAACTTTCAAGGTAAACACTGACATTCCTCAGCCCGGCTCCCACAGAGGGCTCTGGCTGCTGCTTCCGCTGCCCTGACTCCCAGCCGCACCCCGCACGCGGCTCTGGAACTGGGGGTGGGAGATCTTCCTTTTCTCTGGACCGCGGCCACCTCTGGGGTGGAACGGCAGTCTTTATGATGCTACACAAGTGGCGATTTCTTGTAACTTTTCGCAACGTCTACGTGAATGACTCGTAACGTGTACAAGTGCCCTAAGGCTGCAACGAGGCTCACTGCCCACCTGAACTGGCCGGCACAAAACAAGCAGCCCTGGGAGGAACGTACCAGCTAGCACGGCCTTAAGCTATGCTGTGGCTGAGACACGGAGAAGTGCCTATAATTTGGGAGCAGCACCCTAGCCCAAAAAGGTCGCTCCTCCAAGCATCAGCTAGGCTTGATCCTGCTGAGCTTGGGAGAGAGAACAGGAGCCGAGGGGTTACCTATGACCTAGTGCTCCACTGCACCTCCCGCTCCTTTCTCTTGTGCACTTACACGTGCACACGCATGCAGCACCCCAGCCACATGCTGAGTCCCCTCCCCGCCATGCTGAGGCCCTGTCTTGGCCACCGCAGCAGGGTCTTTTCAATCAGGGAGCCACGGGTGCCTATGCCTGGCATGCCTCAGAGCCTGGCACAGCCCCCAGCCCTGAGCCAGGGGCCTGCCCAGCTGCCTTGTAAAGGGGCTATAGTGGGGCAGGCTCCATTTCACAACCCCTGGGAGGCAGCTCCTGCTCAGAGGCTGTTTCACACTTGGGCATCTTCGAAGGCCCTGGGCACCTGCACCTGGGGAGAGTGCAAGAGCTGGGACCAGCAGCTTGGGGGGTTTAGCTGGGGGGAAATGGGGTGGGGGAGCCCAGCCTGGCTGCAGGGGAGCCCAGACAGGCAGCCTGCCAGGGCCAGGGGGCAGGTCCTTCTCCCCTCCCATTGCAAGGAGGGGGCCTGCGGGAGCAGGAAGAACCAGTTTCATGGCCCGGCGCTTGGATAAATATTGCTACAAAGGAGGGTCATAAATCCCCCGCGCCTCGCCAAGCCCCCTCCTCCGGCCAGCAGCTGCTCTGTCTGCCCCAGCCCAGCCCCCAGTCCCAGCTTTGCCCCCCGTTGTGTGCCACATGTTCCCTCCCCCCCCCACTGCCATGCCCAGGGAGGAGTATCCACCCCCTGGCTGGCTCCATGTGCTCCCAGGGCCCACGCCGACCTCCCAGTGCTGGGACAGACCTGGAGCAACAGATGCTTTGTGTAGATCCTACATAAACAACTGCCCTCAATACATCTGCTCCCAGGACAACAGCCGTGCATGGACCTTTCCAGAGCCCCTCACAGGAGGGTGAACCGGGCTGAAATGCAGCCACCTCTGGGGTGGAGCACGGCAGGCACAGCAGCTTTGGCCAGGATGCATAACTCTGACCAAGACGGTCGGGCAGGCGACCGGGGCACGGGCACGAAGCCCCCAAGAGCTGGGGTTTAAGGATCCGGGCGGGGGGGAGCTGAGACAACAGTGTCCAGCACAAAGCCTGGCGCAAGCAGAGAGGCTGCTGGGTAATTAGCGTCCAGCGTTGGAGTTAATTAGCTCTGGAGAGAGAGATAACGAACCTGCACAGCCGCCCCTGTGTCTTGTCTCTCCCCTGTGATGGCCAACCCCTGCGTGACACGAGTCTGCCGGGTCTCGGCCACAGCCCAGGCACCCTCTTAGCAGAGAGCAAGCGCCAAAGGGGATGGGGGGGGTGACAACCCCCCCCGCACAGACCAGGCCCCTCCGCCCGCCCTGCGAGCCCGCCTGGCCTTTCCCCGTTAATTAGCAAAGCATTAACCTCTGCCTGGGGTTGATGCGCTATCGAGCGGTGTGTTCATTAATCCAGATGCTGGCAAAGAGCCCTAATTAATCCGGCCCCGTGCGCGGGGGCCCGTAATTGTTCCCGGCCGGCTGGGGTGGGGGGAGAGAGGGCAAAGGTTAAAGCATTTATCGAGTCCCTGCGATTGCGGCAGCGGCCTGGTTTCCCCGCTGGGGGCTGATAACATGGCCGCACTGATTTCCGATGAGAGGGCAGCTGTCCGTCAGGGACGGCGCAGCCCCCCCGGCCTCCCGGCGCGGCTGGGACGTGACTCCCAGCTCCCAGCCGCAGCCCCCTGGTATCCCCAAGCCAGCCCAGGGGTGAATGCAGCACCCCCGGAGCACCCGCGGTTTAGCCCGCGGGCCAGAGCCTGGAGACGGACGCTGCAGCGCCGCGGCACCCCGGTCTGCTCCCCCCTGCCCGTACCTCGCTTCTGCATGAAGCCGAAGAGGTCGTCCAGGAACTCCTTTCGCTTGGGGTCGTCGTCCAGCTCATACAGCTGCAGGGGAGAGAGGAACAGGGGTCAGCCTGGCGGGGCCGGGCATGCCTTCTGCTGCATGCCATGTGCCCTCTACTGCCAGCGGGGAGTCTCCGAGTGCTGGCGTGGGTCTGGGCTTGAGCCCTTCCGGTGGAGAAGGGCTGTGAGCCCAGGCAGGACTCCTGCCCCATCCGCCTCCCTGGTGCCCGAGTTTGCCTGCCCCGTCGCCCAGCGCTGACCCTGGCTTGGATTCCCCACTGGCTGCATCGAGACCACAGCACAGGGACCTCAGTGCCCGCCCAGGTGCCCATCCCTGCTCCTGGACCTGGGCTCTGGTGCTCACTCCCCACCACTGCAGCCTGAGCTGTCTCCAGCGCCTGGTGCCCAGGGAGAATCTGTCACGGTGCTAAAGCGTGGCCAGCATCCGGCTCACCGCTGGCCTGGCAGCCAGCCCGACGCTGGTGCAGTGCCAGCCCTTTAAATGCCCTGCCGTAGGGCTCCAGGGCACCAGGCCATGCTGTGGGCAGCTCCCGTGCTCCCAGCTGCAGGCTTAGATACCCCCGATCCCAGCCACAGCCATGGCTGGGGATCCCGGGAGGTGCTCAGACACCCCAGCACAGGGGAGGCTAGACAGAGAGACAGACAGACTGTGAGGACAGACAGGAAGGGACATACCTTGGGTGTATGGGGATGGACAGAGAGAGGGGCCAGACCTGCAGACAGATGGGTGGATGGATGGACAGATGGATGGATGAGCTGTATGATAATCAGATGAGTGGATGGATGGACGGATGGACAGAGACTCCCCTTCTCTTTCCCACAGCCCAGGAGATGGGATTTCTCAGAGCCGCAATCGCGAGCCGCCCACCCCGAACGTCACGGTGCAGCATCACAACAGGAAGACAGAGCCCAAGCAATCGTGGGCAGGGCTGTCACAACACGGGGACACGGCAGCCACAGGCCAGGGACCTTGTCATGTCCTTGTGTGGCCACCACGGAGCAGGAGCAAAGCCATACCCTGCCGTCACATCATGTCATGACATGAGGCATGATTGTCATGACAGGGTTTGCAGCTATTGTGGCATAGGGAGTCTAGCTCAGCTTGGACATGCAACTGCCATGGAGTGGAGATGTAGGCATCCTCATATCCCAGGGCAGCTATTGTGATGTGAACCCCCAACCTTTGTGTCACGGGGTGCCACTATCATGATGTAGGCCACAGTGATCGTGACACACACCTATTATGCCACATTGTGACTATTGCCACATGGACAGCAAGGGCCATGCCTATATCATGCTATGACATGACCTTCACGGCATGGCACCACTAGCACGATGTGGGTTGCACCAGTCATGGCATGCACCCATTGCAGTGTGTCATAGCAGGAGGTGCTGTCATGACATGATGCTGCTGTCATGATGTTAACTGGGCGCATCAGACTATGACATGTGGCTATCGCGGCATAGTCACGACACGACACGACACGGCTATCACGCAGTGGCAGACCAATCATGATGTAAGCCGGTAACGTGTGGCTATCGTGGCATCTCACTGCTGCCAGGACATGGCACTGCTATCATGAACCAGGCTGCACCAATCACGCCATGCCCCCATTACAACATGCATCTATCATGCTCGTTGCCACTGCCGTGACATGGGGGCTGCTGTCATGATAATGGGCTGCGCCAATCATGCCATGTGCCTGCTACGGCATGTGGCTACTGCAACATGGGCAGTGATATCACAACGTGGGGCTGTGACAACTGCAACGTGGGGGCACAACTGCTGCGCCTGGCCACCTGCATGCTCTGGGGCAGCCTCCACATCACAGGGACACAAGTGTCATCCCCAGAGGGCAAAGGACAAGCCCAACCCCACGGAGCGAGATCGCCGAGCTCCATGCCCGTCCATCACCCACCCCAAAGCCTCAGCCCAGCCGATGCTGCCTCTGCGTGGGGCTCCTGGCAGCTGGGCTCTCTGCTCAGCGGGGTCAGAGCCCTTTGCTAAGGCCTGGTGCCAGCCAGGCTGCTGTCACCGTCTGGCAGGGAAGGCTGCCCTGGGTACACACACGGGGAATCCCCCAACGGGGCTGAGAAAGGGTCTGGCCAGGAGCTGGGTGTTGGGCCTGGCTGGCA